GAGATGAGTTTCTTTAAAATCTCGAAGAGTCGATTGACATCCTCTCGAAGTGACCCATTTTGGGTTGCCATGTTCAATAATGAACTTCATCTCCTTGTGTCTTTCAACTTATTTTTTCAAAATGAAGGGTTGGACGATAGTTCGTATTTAGTGTTTTTAAGTCTTTGTGTAATAATTGATTTCGAGAAACGCGGCTCCGATACTAATTGTAACAGCACAGAACATAAAAGAAAATAAATTATAATTTGAATGCAGAAGCGAAATAATAAAGTTAGGGTTTACATTCCTTACACAATAATTCAGAATACCCAATAGGACTACGAAAATGATATTTCTAAAAGAATAAATGAAAAATCAAAGAAATAAATAGAAAATAAACAACTGAAAATCCTATTCGCAACCCTCTTGTGGATCGGAATCTAGATCTTTGTCCTCTTGATGTGAAATAATTAATAAAAGCGTGAGCTACATGAGCATAGTAAGAATATCACGCTACTCACTGATACATAAATGAAAGTTGGTAAAAATCATAAAAACAATTAATGAAGCTCTTAATTTAGTTAAATTCATTTATCATAACTAAAATTATTTATTACATACTTACCGTTGCAAGATTTTCAAAACTGACCTATAGAACCAATAACACAACCAATATCATAATCTCATTTTTAATTAGTCAGAACAACAATTTTTCTTTTTATCTGCCTACTGGTATCCATGGAGGTTCATAGGGATGTCCTCACTACGAGTGAACCCTTATTCAACATTGTCAACTAACCGGCCGTCCCTATATCCCGTCCGGTATGAGCGTAAAAAATATCATCCTTTAATATTCTGTCCGGTATTGGAGTAAAACGGGTCATCCCCATACCCTATTCGGTATGAGCGCCAAAAATACCATCCCTCAATACTCCGTCTGGTATGAAGGTGAAATTGGCCGTCTCCATACCCTGTTAGGTATGAGCACCAAAATACTAATTATCAATACCTCGTTCAGTATGAGACAATGTTCACGGTATAGTTCTCTATGTACCATGTCTGTCCATCATATCTCAGGATATCCAGTAAAGTTACCATTCATCCATTCACTTAATCAAGCAATTTTTCATTTACATTTAATTTTCAATTTCACAATTTAACTATAAATCACGCAAAACAAGCAATACATGCATCAAGAAAACACAATTGAATCATCTTACAAATTCCAGTGTATTATCATGCATTCGAAACTGTAAAATCAAAGAATCAGTTAAAACATGGCAAACAGTAATAAATAACCAATTCTGCCTCTATTAGTAATATGTAATTAATTATCAATATTTTTTAAATTACGCAAAATTTCGTATTATTTATAATTAAACTTTAATTCTATAATAGGGAATAAGTGAGGGATTCTTACTCGAATTGGTGTCCAAAATACTAAACTTTCAGCTGCGTCTACTGGCGGTCTCCGGGTTCCCTGAATTTTTCCTCAGAGATTAAAACACGCTTTAAGTACCTAGAAATACTCCCAAAAAATCCAAAATCGGTGTTAAAAATATTTTTTGGCCAGTTTCGAAATTCTGGCATGGCGGGGCCGCCATGATCTGACGACGGCACCACTGTCTGCCACGACGGTTTGCCTCGAACTGGCTATTTTCGGCCAGTTTTGGTCAATTTCAGTCAATGTTATATTCATCAATGCGAGAAAACATGTTAAGGGGCCTTGGTTGGCAGAAAAAAATCGAAAAAACAAAAATTCACCAACGGTGGGATTTTTCGGTGCGGCGGCTATGCCGACTCACCTTCGCTATTGGATATTTTTCTTCGATTAACCTATAGAAAATAGAATGATGTTACAATGATGAAAAAATCTCACGAAACGGGAATCGGGAAGGGCTTCATCGGAGATTATTTTTAGTTTTTCTCATTGCAGCGCCGCCGGATTTTACCTGCAGTTTCTGGTTCATCTGCCGGTTATTTTACTGTAGTTTGCCTATAGGGGTGTTTAAAATCAAATTTCGAGCGAATTGAAATTTTTTTACTATTTTTGCAGTTAGAGGTGGCTCCGACGCGGCAGTGGTCAGCTCCTTTCTCTGGCGACTAGTTCATCTTCTCCGACGGGGGCTTAGCGGCTAGGGTTAGGGTTCGGTGTGAAGTGAGGTATTTATATCCATCTCTCTTTAATTTCAGTCGTTCATCGCGTTTGATCTCGACTGTACGATCGCATTTAAAGAGAAAATGAATATGAACCGTTAATCGCGATTTGATCTGGACCATATGATCACATTTAAAGAGGGAACGAATCTGAGCTGTTTATCACGTTTAATCGCTACCGTCCGATCGCGTCTGATGAGGGAACGGATTTGGACCTTCCACGCGTGCGAAAACAAATCTAGACTGTCTGATCACAGGCACGCGGATTTCCAGTGTGGCCTGCCATGTGGCACTGCGTCAGCGTGTCTTGCCAAGTGGCGCGCTCCGGTTCGTCGAAGTAGCTGATTAAGCAGTCTTATATGACACATTTTTTCTAAATTACGTTTTGACCACCAATTTTCGATTTTTCTTTCAAAAACAACCCTCAAACCCAAATTTTTACCCATATTTCTCAAAATTATTTTTAATTTTATCATCCACCTATTTTTTCTTAATTTTATATTAAATAAAAATTTATAAAATTAAAAATTATATTTTTATATATTTATTATTATTTTAAAAATAATAACAATAATAATCTCTGACCAAA